CTACTACTACTACTCCTACTCCTACTACTTTTGCCATTTCCGGCTCCGGCCGGCCACTTTTTCTTGCTAGTATTCAAACAGTTAGAACATTCAAAACATGCAAGAACCTCCATATGCAAGAACCTCCATAGGCGCAAGAAGGCGCAAGGGCGAGCGCAAGAGCTTTTCAGCACTATGCCCTGCACCTAGGTTTAGAACAGCCCCCATATGTATATGCCTCCCTGGTTGGGTTCAGGCGCAGACCGCTGCACTTTCCCAGCCAAAGATATGTTTGGGGAATCTTTGGTGACGGGTCAAGACCGACAATGGGTAGACTACCAGACATGGTCTCCCAACCAGACTCGTTATTGCAAAAACCGCTCCGCACGGGTTTTGACTCACACGCAAGAATCCTCACGGGCCCAATGGCCAAAACCGTTTGAGGAAGAGCTCCTTCGCGCAACACCTTTGGTGTCCGACTGATGTCGGGGCAGCTCCACCGGAGGAATATCTGGTGAGACTTGGACAAAATTAGACTGTTTCATACCAACAAGCACTACAAAACAACCAGCGGTGTGCCACTCTGGATGATTAAAACCCCTCATATACGAGATGTTTTGCCATTTAGGCCTCAGGAGTCAACCCGAAAGCCGGACATGCGGCCGTGCGGTCAAGACACCACGTCCTGTGGAGGATCTAGTCAGGGGAGGTTGAGCCATAAAGTGAAACCACGACTCGACGGCGTGCGTGCGACTGTTTCTTTTTGCTCGTTGCAAGGCAAGAACTGATGGAGATTTGAACAACTGTTCATAAAGATTGGTGCTGCTGGGTGAACTCCAAGCAGGTACGGGAAAGAGCACCCGTTGCATCCCCTGTCTCAGTCCATTCCACCTCTGGAAACGATCCCCACTGAGGCGGACGGTCCAGCCCACCCGATGTCCAGGCACCCAAAGGGGGCCGTCGGGTGCTCACCGGAAGTCGTTGGGCACTCACCGAAGCGCGTGGCATCGCTGGCTGCGTGGTTTAGTACAACTGTTGGCAGACCCTTAGTGGGTTTAAAAAGTAAAAGACACAAAGACGTCTAGTTGTAATGTGCTTGTATGTTGGCTTGTTTTGGAAAACGGGCCTCCATCCATCCATTTCCATCCATTCTTTCTTCGTGGGGGATCGATGACATGTTTCAACCATTAAAAAAACATGTTTTTGATGTTACCATCAACATGTTTCAGCCATGCTTGAACCACTAAACAACCCAACAAATTATACATTATACAATATTATTGTTTAAATGTTTGCTCCACATCGTGCCTATCTTAATCGCTTTCAACGCCCGAACCGTTCGTCCCCTATATCGATCTAATCGCAAAGAAATGTTTTTTTTTGCAGAAGGTCTCGGTTCCCAAGGATGTTCAACCCTCATCAAACCAAAGAATGACATGAATCCTCTCAACAGCAAGGAGAAGAGACACGCATGAGATGATCACAGGACCATCCATACCAGGACCTTCCAAGTAAGGAGTCACTTGATCGGACTAGCCTACACTGGACTCCCATGCCCGCCCTACTACTTCTGGATCTCCAGTGACACTCCAGTAGGAGTAAAGTCCTGGTATGTACCCAGAGGGCCTTTGTGGCGTTTGATCCCATCTGTGCTACCGTGCAACAATCGACACTCGCACACTGACCGACCATCTCGCTGTCGGCGCAGCTCAAATGGCGAAGATCTTCTGGGAAACACAAGCTTTGCATCAAAGCAGCGGACTGAACGACTTGGGAGGCACGTCTTCACGGCTTTGCGGGAGATGGAGTGGAAAGATGGAGAGGGAAGCGGCAAACTCTGAAGGGCAAGTCCCCAATCAGCACCCACTAAAAATGTCGTTGTTTTCTACTTTGGTTGCACCATTCGGTTCATCCCTATGATATGTCATTACAGCATATGGGTCATCCCTGTGGGAGGAAGAAAGAAACACGGCCGAATCCGGCAGCGCTGCATCTAAGCCGAATGACTGGCCCCCTGTGCCCCCCTGTGGAGCGCTGCTCACGAGGCGTGAATCCTGCGATGCTCCTTTGCATGACCATTGCCTGGATCTTGATCTGGCTCGTTGCGCCTCGTTGGACGTGGAGCGACGGCGACAACGGACCTTCCCGGAGATGATGAGCTCACTAAACCTAAGCACTGGATTTTGATGTGCAGCGGAGACCTCCCGAAGGTCCAGGACCATCTTTTTGGTGGTTTTCGTCCTTTAATTCGTCACTCATTACACAGCTCCTACAGGCAACATGCTACAAGATCTACAAGGCGCTAGCAAGTTAAACAACAAAAACGTGGTGTTGTCCATGTCCATGTTTGCCATGTTTGCTGGGATTTCTCAGCCTGTTCACACATGCGGGTTCAGGGTGGCTTGACGTTCGGGTATTTCGGTGGGCGTGGGCGATGTTCTGAGTATGTTTGGTCGATTCGCTTGTTGACAGAACTTCAGATGAGGGACCAGTTGTCGCGGTTGTCGCTGTTTTTTGTCCAAAGAGCTCGTATTGGAGGGTTTAACTTCAATCCACAACTATACACAACCAAGTTGTGTGGTGTGAGGGTGTGCAAGAGTACTCCGCAGCCGGTGAGCATGGGTGTGGATAATATACACATCGTTTTGGGGCCAAGTTGGTGATTCTTCAGAGCTGACTCTCCGAGGGTTGCATAGGTTGCCAACTGTTCAGCTGTGGCTGCGGAGGCAATAGCAAGAAAGCCTGAACCTATCCTTATCTATCAGGATCATATCCATCATATGGGACTAAGTCCAACCTGTGACTCTACCAAGTCATAAAGGCACCAGCCACCAGCCACTCACCAGGGTTACCTTATTCAGCTCATCCAATTTTGTTGAGTCTTGTATGATCCACCGTTGTCCAAGGTCTTCAATGGCGTCCAGACCAGTGGAAAGGTCGTGTATTTTACGGCCACTTTTCCCTTGTTTCCTGGATTTCAAAGCGAGTGTCTTTTGAGGCGACTGGCGGTGACTTCAATGATGTCCCACCTGGAATGCTTTATATAAACCCAATTGACAAACCCAAGCAGGGACTGTCTGTGATCTCATATTCTTGGGCCACCAGTTTGCCACACACTTAGTCTTGGACCTTTGCAGTGTTTATGCGTGGACACGCTGCGTGGACTGGCTGGCTGTCACTCTGAATCGGCCTGGTTCCAGGAGTGTTGAGAATCCGTACCTGAGAAACCAGTGAGACGGCACAATAGCTTATTCAGAGGTCACCAGTGACGACGTTCCAGCTGAGAAGTTGTTACTGTGGTCCTGGGTGTGGGATGGTGTTGCACAAGTGATGAACTGGCTGGCGTGTGGAAGGGTGTTTGGATGACAGGTTTCTTTCTTTATATGGATATCATGTTTCCGTTGCTTCCTTCCACTCATGACACACAAACAGTCAATCTGTTTGAATCAACCCGAATCAGTCCTTTTGTCCTGTTTCCGCCCAGGCTTGTTTGGCCATCTTTCTTGCTGCTTGGCGCGCACCCTCACCCGACCCACGCCCGATGACCGGCCCCACCGCTTGGGACTGCAGGTGCGCGCGCTGACCTTGCCCAACGCCCTGACAGGGCTACGATTCCTCTTCGAGCCCGTGACTAGGTAGCAGATTCATCCACAGAGCTGTGCTAGATGGCCAACTAGGTAACTAGGACATAGAAGACGACAAAAGACCCGGTAGATGGCTACAGGCTGCAGATCTCATAGATGGCTACAGGACCCGGTTCATGACCTTTTGTCTGACCAGCCATAAACCCAGCCTGTATACGAACCAGCTTGCCATATTTGCACATGCACATATATGTTGTGATGCGAAAGTGTTCGTGACATCGTGATTTGAGGACTATAGCCACCTGGCGGATCCTCAAGTGTGGATCCATGGCGCCGTACAAATCTTCTTCTCCTTAGGCCACGTTCCCTCCCTCGGACCGGCCAGCTGCGGGCGATGGACGTCACGTGACGGGACGGCGGAACGTCCGGTGTTTGGTCCGGTTTGGGCCGAGGAGTTGGTTTTGATGGTTTTTTTCGTTGGCTCCTTAAGCAAGGCAGATGTTTCGATTGGGTTTTGGGATGGTTTGGAGGGGCTCCTTAAGCAGGTGTCCACGGTCGGCTCGCCCAGAGGTGTTCGCCACGCACGTCGATGAAGTGATTGGTGAAAGAGGTTGAATTCGTTTTCGCGAGCAGTTAGGATCCGTTGTGCATTGTTAGAGTTGTTGGCGATAATTGATTGCTTTGCTTTGTTTCGAAGCATACCATTTAGAAGGCTGACCAATTATGGAGCCTCCTCAGAACCCTTTGCCAGAGAAGTTGGTGATGCCACATGTCATGCCACCCCTCCATTCCCGCATTTGGTAGCATGGAACGGGCAATGGCAATGACGAGAATCAACATGGACATTGGCTGAAGACACATTTCTCATGCTGCACACATGTGTCCGTTTCTCTTGTAAAGTCCATCCAGCATCTTCTAATCAGATTCTAATCGATATTCAAAATGTTTAATCCCAAAAAGAGAAAGAAACTCACATCATGTCCTGATAGTTCCAGCTTAAAAGCTGCCAAGTGACCATTTACTGATCTGATTCCACCACCTTTTTTGAAGTGACTTCCAGGCATCGGATATGGCTGCATCATCTCCTTTGGCTCCTTCGGCAAGAAGTCCGCCAACTTCGTGCGCGACGCCTCGGGGGCCACTTGATGAACAGCAGTCGTCGCCGTCGTAGGGCCCGTCGGTCGTCGTGTTCGGTGGAAGGTCCTGGGGGGTCCGGATGAATCGCTTCTGGAACCTTCCTAGTGAATCCAGTACCATCACCATCCAGCCCATTATTGATTTTTAAAATCCAAGACACTCCATGGGACTGGCATCATATATATAATTATATACATTGACCATCATTGACCCCTGCAACCATCCCAATGCAGGACAATGCAGGTACATATGCCATACATGGATTATTTGGTTGTGTGTGTACTCCATATACCTCTCGCACCACACGATCTGGTGAAAAGTGTTGGCGGTATGCCAGCCACTCTGGCTGCACATACAATAATCCGCTGCACAGAAAACGAAAGCAAAGACCTCAAGACTCACAAAAGGCAACACACCAGGACTCAATTGTACGTCCCGGCCCAGAATTCAACATCTTGGCCAATGCAAGAAGGATATGATCCTCTAGCAATGGCACTGCATCTACACTTGCACTTTGGCATACAACTTTCCCCGCTGATTTCACATAGCGAGGATCAACCCTGCAGGATCCTGCAGGTGGCGTACGTGACCCAGCTAATTCAAGTGGTTTCAAAGGCGAATGCCATCTCACAGGCGACCTGGTGGGATTCCCGTGCCCTTCTAGACCTATATAGTGGCCAGTGGCAAGTCTCAGAATTCATCACCTTCCTCAGCTCGCCCCCTTCACCCCCCAATTCACCCGCCTACCTGCTCGCAGTTTCTCCACTTTCTCCATCCCCTCCCCCCGCTTTCTCCCCCTCACCGACCCTATGTTCGGACCCCCTGGCTCGCCCTGCCACCCCCTCCGAGCCAGACCCCCCGGCGACCCCACTCCGCGATCGCAGGTGGCTCTGACGAACTGCGGCACCTCGATCCTCGCCGGCTGCGTGGTCTTCCCCGTCTTGGGCTTCCTGGCCGCGGAGCTCCACGAGCCGCGCGGCCCGAGCGGAGAGCCGAGGGGTGTAATGGGACGGAGGAAGCGTGAGGAGAGGGCGGCAGTGGGGAGTTGGTGCATGAAGGGGATGACTATTTGGCTAGAAAGTGAACGAATCGACCATAAAGTGCATATAAAGATAAACATTTGGGTTTCTAGGAGCCTTGTGACAGTGTAGCCTGCACGCGTTGAGGGACTAACAAAAACATTGAATATAGTGGCCCCATGACTCATCAAACATCTTGCCCAAAGTCAATCCTTTACTTTGGACACCAGTACAGACAGTGCTTGCGCGTGCTGGCGCTTTTTGACGAAGGAATCAACGACGAAGGGACGGAATCAGCGCTAGCTGGTGCTCATGCGGGAACCAAGGGGCCAGTGGTATCAGTATATTCACCATTAGACGGAGCCAAGGAACTACAGGAGTTCTCCAATCCGCTCAACTGAGGACAGACCCTTGCATTGCGGGTGATAGCTTGGAGAGTCTCAAGTCCATTGGTCTGTCAGGGACAGGCGCAACAGTGCTTCGAGTGTCGTTTGCCAACGGGTGAGAGACCACCACATGGATTGACGAGTGAATTGTTTCGGGAATTAGTTTCTCCTGTCTTTGGAATTGTAATTCCATGTGTTTTCCAGGAGACATTTCAACACAATAGGATTTAACATAAACATCATCAATAAGTGACGTGTGCTTGTTACAAAACTTGTTGTTCCCATTTTCATCCATAATTGAATCATCGGAGGGATCTTCCACTTCTTCAGCGAATTGGAAGAACACGGTCTCAGTCGATGATCGCAATTCCTTCGTGAGAGGTTGAAATCCGGTCCTTCGAAGTCACATGATGTCCCATGAGCATCCAGCTAGCAGCTAGCTCGCTGTTGCTGGTACAGTCCTTTTTCACCCGTACAGTAGACAAAGAGTTAAAAGAGTGTGTCTTCATCCTGATCTCATATTAGTATTCTATACTTTTTGACACCAGCACTGTTTAGTTTGCTTCCAGAATTCGGATTTCGTCCACTGCAATGATCCTGCAGTCTGCAGTTCTTTGATGTTCGTGTGCGCTCTAGAGGTGAGGATGCTGCATCTTGAGGCTTGAGGCCTCCTTCATCCCTACACAGTCAGTCAACAACCAATAGGATTGAGGACACCCCACTAAAAAATAATTTGTGCTTTTCGCTGAGGATCTTCTCTTTGGCTGTCCTGTGGACCGTCGCTGACACCACCGGACCGCGGTTGGAAAACAGATTAAGACAGGTGTTTTCTTTCGTAAAACGGCTTTCCATGCGTCAGAACAGCTGTCCCTGCGTCGGTGAAACATCGTGGTGAAACATCGTGTCGTGGTCAAACTGACATGTTCGCTAGGATTGGCCTTCGTGGCTTTTCCCATCGCCATTTCGCAGATGCCTGGGAGCTTCTTCTTCGTCACCTGCCGAGAGAGTGCGGGGTTGAATTGGCCCAAAAAGTCATCATCAGATTTTTTCCAAGTCACGAAAGGTAGCTTGAGCTACCTGAGTTCTCCTTGCTTTAGCAAAAATGTATTACAATCAGGAGTTGGGATTGTGCATTGAGTTTGGTCCTGTAAGAGTTGATTCTGTTCGTCGCGGGGGGGGGGGCCCCCCCTGGATCAAATCCCCCCTGCGCCGGTTCACTCCGTCATGGACTTCTACCAGGGTTACTTGTGATTGCCTGCTACCTTTCGTTCACCCCCTCCTCTCTCAAGTGCTCATCACAGCCTTGGTCCGAATGGTTTTTTCCAGTTAAATGTAGGTACCATACCTGCATGTATACCTGCGGCACCTGAATTTTATAGGTCTATAATGCTCTGCATAATATGGAGGGAATTAATTGGAAGGGTGCAGTAGGGTTGCGCAAGATTGCGTGGAGAAGACCAGTTGGGGTTCAGTGACTGAGGTTCAAGACAGCATTGGCACCTGCTGGGGTTCGGTCAAGAAGGGATAGAAATCCAATTCTGAGGTGCCGCGGATTCTCCGATGAAGGGGCAGCCGGGGCAAGACGATCATCCGATAAGAATCATCCCTTTCTATTTCGCAGGTTCGGTTTGGTTTGCTTCCGGTGACAAAAGGCTGGAGAGGGCCAAGTCTTCCATCACCTGTAAGACCAGCGCTGCAAATGGTAGATCTACTCTGGGTGGTATGTTTATTTATCATATGTGTTGTAGTTGAAACATGTTGAAACCACCAACCAGTATCACATGATAGAACATTTTATTCCCAATGGAAGCCATCCCAGGTCCTTCCAGTGGGATGGACCATGTTGTTTTTTCTCCGTCCGGATTCCGCCCTTCGGCCCTTCCCTCAATCGATGAGGCCATTTTGTTCTTCTTCATGATGCTGATCTTGGGCATCGACTCCCAATTCGCTTACATCGAGGCACCCCGCGTCGCGCTGGCGCCTCGCTCTGCCTCGCTCCGCGTTGGCGCTCGCGACGTGCTGAGCCAACGAGCGAGGCGGTGGCCACGGTGCTGTGCGATGCGGGTGTGGGAGACCGGCTGCCCCGTTGGGCCTTGTCTGGCGGCTCGGAAGTGGCGAGGTCGGTCCTCGCGGGGAGGAAGCTGGGGAGCTGCACGGTGGGGAGTTGGATCTGTGGGACGAAACAGGCTGGGAAAGTGTAGTGCAGTGGGTAAACACATGTAAACACCAATGAGATTGATCAGCTTGTCGATGAGTTGCATACGATGGAAGAAGAGAGACCCTGAAGCAATGAATGTCAGCCGCCCTATGTTCCTTGTGCCCGGCCCGGTTGATTTAATTTGGGAGAGGATTTGGTTGACCCCGGTCGTAATTTTTTCTGTGTCTTTTCAGAAGGGCAGGCAGATGGCATGGCTGGATCTCCACATAGGAACTCGGAGGCTGAGCATCCGATCGGTGATTTTTCCTCCAGCCCTGCGGTCTTGAAAAGTGGGTCTTTGGTTGGAGCGAGGAGCCGTGCCAGCCGCCAGCGGGGGGGTTCCTCGCATCCACTTCCAACACCAGGAAGGTTGGAGGGTCGAAATGTCGAAGTTGTCCCACAATTGGGGACCCCACTTTTGCATTTCTGTGCCACAGAATACTGGATACAGGATATACTCAGTCTTGGTGCTTTCCTGACAACTTGAAGACTTGGTGACCTGTGGACTTCTGCTCGCTGCCTTTTTGGGCACCCCTTTTGCTCATGGGGAAGAGCAGTGGTAAAACCCTCTAAACCTGGGGCGCCGAGCGCCAGCCGAGCGCACCTGAGGTTTGATTTGCTTGGTGTCATATCTCATCGGCATCTTGTTTGTGACCAATGCTGGCGTTTACTTTCTGGAGCTGTTGCTCGGTCTGGCGTTGATCCTTTATAAGTTCCCCAAATGGGTGTGGATGTCGATATGGCGACATCGTTGCAACGCATGTACTAATAGATATATGTGATTAGATTTGGCTCATAGAGATATGCAATAGGTCGATAGACATGTGCTGTTAACAATCCTTCAAATTGTAGATGTTTCAGACATTGGTTTGGCACGCTCAACACATCAGGCTTTCTTTGAGCTGTTCAATGCTGTTCAGGTTTGATAACTACATCAGCATCTACGTGATGTTTGCCGTCGGCGCCCTCGAGTGCATTGGCTTGTGCTTTGGCAGAGTGGACGAAGGGCCCCTCTCGCAGACGCATGCTTGAGTGCTGGGAAGGCACTGGTGCTTGACGAATGCTTGACTTTGTCTCAAAATAGGCCTTCTTTGTACAACACAGGCCCGACTTTATTGAACAAATGGACCGGGGATGACCATGGCCTTAGCAAAAGAGGACACTCTGTTGATTCAGAGAAGATCCCCTGCTGTTGGTGTTGTGAATTGACGTTCCCTCCTGCAGAAAAAAGAAAAGAACATGGACCCTGAAAGCTACCACCACGTGGGGTGGTAGATGTGAAGGGTCTTTTGTCTCAGGGGTCTATGGACTCGTCTGCAGGGTCACCTGGACTCGTCTGGAGTCCGGTCGGTCCACGCCGGAGGAAGAACGAGCCGTCCGACCTTGAAAGAGGGTCGGGGCGCGGGAGGGGTGGCGGGTGGCGTTTGAGCTCGGAACCCTCCCCCCAAAAGACCATTTGACTTGCTGACCAAGATAGTCCCCATACTATCTATAGATATCTATGATCATCAAAATCATATCTATGATCATCAGAATCAGAACTAGGGGCCCCTACAGGCCCTAGGTGTTTATTATGTTATGTCTTTTTTAAATGTGTCTTCCACCCTCAAATGGTTCTCCTGTTCAGACTCGTTTCTTCGCCCCGCCCAGCTGGTTTTTTGTGGTGCTCTCAGGATGTGGACACGAAGGGGTCAAACCTGGGAGCACTTCCAATCCCTTTGCTTGGAGAATACGGGTTTGCACTTGGGTTGGATTTGGAAGGCGCAAGTGGGCCGGAGGGGGGGGAAGTGTTGCGCCGCGGGTTTCAAAAGGAGGAGGGATCAGCGGGGAAGGATGTGGTTCAGCGGATCAGGGCCGCTCTGGGAAGAAGTTGGAGGAAGAAGTGAACATCATCATCCCCATGTGACCTCGTCCATTGTGAACTGAGCCCAGCACAGGTGGCGTGACTCTGAGCAAGTGGCATGAAAAGAGGTAAAATGGGAAATGAGAAGCAGGGGCCACATCCCCATGTGACCCTTGGTGGTCAAACAAATTTGCTTCAGGCCAGCTGGGGCTACATTTGTCCCACTCTTTGTGTCCTCCTGGTGGTGGTGAGCATCACTCCGCCCTTCGCCAAAGCCGACGTCATGGACGCGCGCAGCTCCAAGCCCTTCCCCGAAGGCGAGGGGGCGGCCGCGGAGGGACGGGGCTGAGTTCGACGGGTGTGCGGTGTGAACATGTTCATTGTCTGAGGTGGATGGTGGGTCACTGTGCAACACCTGAAAACCGTGTAATGATGTGTAATGATATATAAATTGCTCAAATGGTGTAAGCTCGCTTTATTCATCCAAATTCAACAGTAATGATTTTCTTGCATGATTTGTTCAAGAGCCAGCATCAATTATATAAATACGGAAGTGGTTTGTTTGGTGAGCCAGCAACAGGTGTGCTTCTCAATGTTGCGCAACCGTTCTGAGTGTGTTGGTTTTGCTTTCATCATCATATCTCAGATACCCCGAAGAATCCTATAGAAAAAACATCCATGCCAACCACTTGCCCGTCTCCTCCCCTTCCCCCTACAATCTGTTTGCGTTTGATGCCTTACTGCGATGAATGTGAGGAAACACCTGCCTGGAGGCACTGGCTTCTTCCCTGAGTGGACGATCGTTTTTGGATGGTTTTTGGCCTCCCTTCCGGTGGTTTGCATGGTAGTGCCTTGGTCATGACAGTTTCTTTGGAGGATGCCGCACATGAGTTTGCTGCGCATGAGGCTGGCACGTGATGATTGTGTGGTGAAGATGGTGGGTATAGAGTATTTGTGCATTTGTTAGGATTCTGGTGTATTTCTGGAGAGTTCTGTGTCAAGTGTACTTCTTGGATTCTTTTGCCTGTTCCACAAAGCTTAGTAATTAGTAGTCAGGGCAGGGAGGATGAGTTCCTGATCCTAGCATCAACCAACGACAGGCGTTACGACAGGCGTTACTCATCGTTACTCCTGCTGATGAATTTGCCTTGTGACTGAGGTGCTGGCTGTGTGGCCCAATGTTTTGAAGAGCAGCCAGAGAAGCGGTTCAACCATCTTTGACGACATGCCCAAGTGAGCGCCCGGCCGAGCGCGGCTCGGCGCAGCGCGGCGCCAAAGCAAAGAGGCGCTCGGAAGGTGCGAATTCAGAACCCCGATTTCTCAATCGCCGACCAGTCAAAAAGGTTTGACAATCGCAAACGAAGAGATTTGGTGGAGCTGGGACGGATCGGCGTTATTCATTGGGGGAGCTTGTCGTTGGACATTGGATTTGACACAGGTGAAATGCCTTTACTGATGTCCAGATATGTGACATATGGTAGGTGATTATTGGTATTTATATACTAAGCAAACCTTCTTTGTGAAATGCTAGGTATTATCTTGCACTGTTCCTAGCCTTTTTCATAGACATTGGAAGCCGCAGTGGAAGCGTCACATGCACTGTTCCTTGCGTCACTGTGAGAGTTCACCAGTCCAGAGAGTCCTGTTTTTTCGGGGTTTCGGTGACCAGGTCGCTGCCAAATGTTCGGTTCACCAGCCAAAGGAGCCAAGGAGCGCCCTTCAAAATAAGGTTCCGCAGTCGTTCAGAGTTGACTGTTAAAGGAGTCATTGAGTTGACGCCATGTATTTTTGTACATTCTCCAAGAGCCCTCTTCGATGAAGCTGGCTTCCAAAAGGTATTAGGTGGTCCAAGAAATTCCGAGAAATGCTTTGGGATGAACACTTCGGTTGGGATTCCTGCTTTTTTTGTTGTTGCTCGTCCGTGTAGCTGTCCAAAGCCCCTTCTATATACCCAATGCTTGGTCGCAAATTGGGCGCAGATCGGGTCGCGCGACACTTTTCGCGCATCGCAAAGCACGTCGGTGCCGTGAGTGGCATCCTTCGCTGAGAACCATTCTCGGCACAGATGTAAAGACCTGGCGAAGCTAGGGGAAGGTCGAGTCGAATCCTTTGATGCTCCGGACATGATGGCTAGCCGGAAGCCATATTTCAGTGTATCATCTATGTCGGTTGGGTATTTGGGGTGCTGGATGGCCCAACCTTTATCAGGCCCTATCGGTCCTGTGGATTCCAGGTGTTTTTTGCCCAATCCGAGCAACAAGTGTGGGACCACAAGGATTTGTTTGGATCCATCTAGGATCCCCTAGGTTCAGCAAGGTAAAAGGCCTATAAAGGCCTCTACAGACCTCAAGGTCTTTTCGAAAGTCCTGCCAGAGTGCAGCTGATCAGGGCATGGGTTGCATCTCCAAATTCGTTTTGCCAGTGTTGGAGAAACATACTGTTGACTGTCCATTCACATGTGTCGCCGTGTCACTTGTGGCATTCTGAGATCTTTTCACCAGGCCCTTTTAGTGTGATGACCCGACAACACGTCTTGGAGGCACTAACAGCGTAGTGACCCCATGACGAAGCGGATCTACCAATCTCTCGCGTTGTAAAGTCTGCCTTGAAGCCTTTGGCCTCCACGACAACAGATCGTAGACTGGCCATTGAACCACAGCAGATGCGAAACAAATGCTGATGACAGCTTAAGCTTTCCGGATTCTGTTCTTCCTCGCGGAAATCCATTACTAATAGCATTGACTTGCTCCTGAGTATCAGTTCTATATACTTTCATTTGCGGCCAGTTCAGAATTGAATGTAGACTTCCCCTATGTCCATATATGGATTGAAACAGCTCTTCAGGGCTGGGGGGCCTTCTGCAGGGCTGGGGGGCCTTCATTAATTTGTAAGGAGTTTTGTGGTGGCCTTCATTCCATGGCGAGTGAACGCCTTAGCAAATCGGTCAAAAAAGAAAGCTCGGAAGAATGTGTATCCCATTCCAGCAAAAATGTATAATTACTGCCGGGCTTGGTTTTCCTGGAATGTCAACTTCCACTGTAAATGAGGAGAGAGAAAGAGAGAGGAGTGCCATCAGTTCCATTGTCCACAAGTCATGCAGCATTTAGTCCATCGCTTGTGTCTGCAGGGGGCGAGGTCCCAAGAAGCAGTCAGCCAGTGGGAAGAGGAAGTGAAAGAGAGCAAGTACTACAAGGTGCCCAGCGGGTGGATAATGGACTTGCATTTCGTTGAGTTATGAAGAAGTTCTTCAACTGTTGTATTGCATCGATTGCATGTCGTTGCCGTCTTTATAAAAAGTAGGGTTCCGGCATCCGATATTGGGACCATTTGGGACATTGACTTGGAGGTGTCTTTTTGGAGCATGCACATGTTTGGGAGTAGCCTTCTTGGAGGTAGCAACAGGAGATTATACCTCTCTTCAAGCCACTATCTTGTGTCACGTTTTCTCTTTGGTTGTTTCTTCGTTTCAAGGCACTGGCGTGTCAGAGCGCTTGGAGATCCATCAACCCATCATGCCAAGTCGTCGTCATCCAACGTCGTGAAACCCGGCCGCGATTCGGTGGAATTCACGCAGACAAAGCAACAAATTCCAATCCCCGCTCGGTTCTTCCAAAAACCGGGTCAGAGTCCGTCCACAAGTCTGATCCATCCTACGCCGGGCGTTCCAAACGAGCGACCTGTTTGGTCGGGGCCTGGCCCTCCGCCGCCCGGGCCCGCGGCATGCCGGGGGAGGCCGGCCGGCCTCCGGGTGGACGTCCCGTCCGACGGCAGTGGCAGGAGTTGGTCCAGCTTCCCGCGACGAAGAAGATCAGCCCAAGTCCAAAGGCCCGGTGACTCGCCTGCGGCGATGGAGAACTGGGGGACGGGCGGTCTTGGCGGGGTATGGATGAGATGGCCACCCGGTTGGGGGGGGGACGAGGCCGACTTGAAACGAACAAAATGTCTAAGAGGACCGCGATGAGAAATGGCGTGGAAGACAGACTCATCAGATCTCACACCCAAAGATGCCAGGAATGATAGGAATGTGATGAATTGGAGTATTAACTTTGGGGGAGAGATCTTTCAATCGAATCATTCTCCCAGCAGTCACATGTCGGGGTGCTATCCATGGAGGTAGTCGGGGTGCCCATGAGGGACTCAACAACACCCCTTTGTGACTCCTGGTCTTCATTTCTGTTTTCTCTTCCTGGTGGAACCCCTAGGTCCGAGGCTCTGATCCCTTGATGCATCCCTGCACAACCAGCCAGATCGGTGAAGAACCGGCGACGGAGCACCGTGGGATGGAGGGACGTCTATATATAGATGGCCTGAACATAGTGAATGTAAGCTAGCATACCATTGACACCTATATAAAGGTATAGTTTGGGTAAAGCCACATGAAAAAACTCTACCTGAATATATACTACATGAATCATTGAATTATGTCCGAGTTATAGTGAATTATATACATATATACTCAATTGATTTGGTTAATAACTTGATTGATGAGGATTCTATGTTGTGTCCGGTCCGTTCGGCCTGTTGATGTTAAAGCATGTCGGTCTCACAACCCCGGCAGGACTGGAAGCCCGGAGCTCAGTCCGAGCGCATTGGAACACCTCCATCCCGAGCAGTGGGTACCAGGTGGTTGTTCCTGACCAAGACGCTTGGGGAAACCCTTAACAAAAAGGGATTGAACTGGATAAAACAAGATAAACACAAAACCATTTAGATCCATTTAGGGATTTTTGATGATTTTTGGACTTTGTCCTGGGATCCTTGAATTAGGAGAAAGGTCTGTGGTCGGACCAAGCTCCTTTGACTTGGCGTGTCGTGAAACGTTTGGTTCGTTTCGATGAAGCGAATCCGGAGAGATGTCGCATACACCCTCCAAACAGAAAATGATCCCCAAATGCCCCAAACCTTTCAACCCAAGCAAACGCCGCCAAAAACGCGGCCAACCCAACCCAACGCGGCGATTTCAAAAAGACGCGGCTCTTCGCGAGGTGCGAGAAGAGCGGAGACACTCAAAACCTGTGGCTCAACTTGTCGGATGGGCACCTTGGAGAAAAACCTGTGGGGTCCCAGCGGCTGACTTCACTTGGGAGTTGTTTGCTTCTCTGACTTCCAGCCGCTCCCGCTCTAGAATCCCGGACCAAACTAAGTGTTTGAGGGCCCGGATTCTGGAGTTTGCTATTTTGTCTTGCAAGACTCCAAGAGATACTAGATGTTCCGCAAGTTGTACTAGATGTTAAAGATAGCCTTCCACAGCGGGACCCTGGTTCTCTTCAAGGCATTCTGCAGGAATTCTGTGTTTTTGAGTATACTTTAGGAGGTTGAAGCTTTGGCAAAAACTCAGCGCCAAATCACTCGTAGATGTTGCACCACATGATCTGACGACACCTCAGCTAGGCATGCTAGCCATGCTGGGCGACCAGGCCAGCAACCGATACAGAACAAGAAATCCAAACCGAATGAATTGGTCCACGACCTCCGAATGCCTCCAATACCCTGTAACTGATCATGAAAGCAATCCGGTGTGTTTTTCAGTGCAGAAGCTGCTGCTGTTTTGCGCTCCTTCAGAGACCCTCAGCCTTGGTGGTGAACATGCACTGCCTTTCAGAGTCTACCAGGAGACCCCAAGGGGTGTTGTTTGGACCCTAAGGGGTGGTTAATAGACACCCCGGTAGCCACCAATTGGCACCCCTTAGGGTCTCCTGGTATGTGAACATGTTTTGAACATGTTTGGGTTGTCAGGAGAAACAGAATCACCTATATAGAGAACCCGGGGATACTCTCTTACACGTGTGTGATGTGATGAGGCCCAAGTCTTACTGTATGACAATGTTTCCCAATGTTCAGGGTTCAGACGCTAAATCTTCGAATATTGCTCCATTGTCCTGTAGCTCACATCTGGGGTTTGTTTACTGAACTCACGACACAAAACAGCAGATCATGTACCTTCCCTATCCATCCACAATCCCCTCTAAAAAAGGGTTTATGTGTTCCACACTTTTACATCGGCAGGAGGGGCGAAGCTCCGTGGATCCGGCTCGATTTCTGGGTCGCTCCGTCACGAGGTGAACAAAAACAGCAGAATCGTCAGGACCCTCAAGAGGCGCACGTCTTTGGAGGATCCGTTAACTATACCATAGACTATATCAATACCCCTGCTATTCTGGGGTTCCAAATCCCTCCATGCTTGGAGAGCCCCAAGGATTCGATCTAGGAGTTCAGCTGAATATCTAGATGGTCCCATGTCCAATTTCGATCCGAAACTCGGATGGTCCTGACGTTCACTCCGCCGTCGTTGAACTCCACCCACTCTCAGGTACATCGGCGGGGGTCGACGGCATTGGGATGGCTCTGGCGGAAGTAACGGAGCTCTTGAGCATTTCGAGGAGGACGGCGACCGGGCGAACGGGTCGTCGTTGCCGTCGTCTTCAGGAGGACGACCCTCCTGCAGATGGGGAGGCTCAGAGGTTTGGGGTTCACCGGCTCCTTTTTTTGCGAATGGAACCTAACTGACCTAACTCTGTTAAGTTGTAGAAGTCTTTGATTTCAATCCCTAGCCAGTAGCCAGTAGCTGAGGTGTTCTCTTGTGAAGGAAGGGACCATGGCAACAAGGTTGTGGCCTGGAATGAGCCCCTCCATTAGAACAGCAGGCCGCACCATCTCTGAGCAGGCCTCGAAAGGCTACTCGCATCATCTCGCATCCCGCTTTGGTGTCTTACACAATGCTTGAGTAATTGTTGGCACAGTGGAATCCTTGCTGGCCCAGCTTTTCTTCTCCACGCATGACCCACACCGTGGGCGGCGGGAGGGCATTGAGTTGACCCACATCGTCCACGGCTCCAGGAGAAGGCCAAGGCCAACTTCTTTCCATTGGTCCTCTCCTTGACGAGAACCGAAGCTCGCGCTCGCGCTTTCTGATCATGCGGTGACTGACAGTCATGACCTGAACAATCGAGCCATCCATCATCAAAATACCTCGGTGTGTTTTAGTATCGAAATCTTATCGTTGATGAGGGTTCATGACCCAAAACTCGAAAGGGTATAGTCAGGTCAGGGATGGTCAGAGAGCATTTTGCTAGCCTATTCATGAACTTGGGTTTCCGTGACTGCAGCCACAACCCGTTCATGCATGCACGCCCCGTGCAGTTCAGAACCCTGAAGCAAAGCGATGCAGACCTTTGGAAGCTCTCGTGTGGTTCTTTTCCTGGAAGCTGTAGGCCTTGGCAAGTCCGCTGTCCGAGCGTGCTGTTTGAAGGGTGCCGAATGAGCAATGAACGGAAGCCACCAGCAACGCGGCCCCAAGCCATTGGTCTCGGTTCCAGGTGGACACCCGTCTTACCGCCGGTTCACCGGGCGACCCAGGACCGGACCGGCTGGTTGACAGCCTCGATGTTCCTCCAAAACACCAGCGGTAGTACTTTAGGGTCGGGTGGACCCATCCAACACCGTACGCCAGTCTGATTTACAAACCATGGACACACAACAAGTATTGCTTTTTTTCTCTCCAAGAACATGTCGACATCAAACTTGCAGGATGCATCCTCATACATCCTCCTGGGTCGATGGGAATGGGATCCTCCTCCGGTTTTTCTCTTGACCCGGACAAAAGCTCCTTGAGCCCCAAGTCACCAAACCCCACGGAGCCGCGCAGCAGCCCGGGGCGGCTCCGCTATGGCCGGCTCGCTCCTCAGGTGGTGAAGTTGGGCACCATCACACCTGATGGAGCCGCGACGAACCGCGACGAACCGGGTGGGACTGGGCGCACCTATTCAACCCAAATATGGGTTGAAAGGATTTCTCAAAGGTGGGTTTACTTTATACTAGGTCAAAATGAGATAGGATGTGTATGGATTTGTAAAACGATCGTCACAATCACAAAGTTCTATCTCATAATGACCTATAGCATAATATAGCTGTTATCCTTCTTTATCCTTTTTGTCACTGTTTTGCAGTGCTGGTGTCAAATGCAAGCACCACAAGCTGGTGTGCTGCTCACGCAACGGTCCAGCAATTGACAGCCCTTTTCATGAGTAGTATGTCATCATTGTCGCTTTTTGGTTGACCCTCACCTTTGGCATCAGCATCTTTTGGCATCGTGATATTGTACAAGTTCCTCAAATGTTGATAGCTTTGCACGGTCCCACTGCATGGTTAGCTCCCATTGCTTTGCACCGGTGTGCAGCCCGGCCGAGAAACAGGAGCTGACGTCTACTCCTACGCTCCCGATGAGGACAATCTCGTGAAGGAGACCGGAAGCTGAAGCCGAAGCAAAGACCCTGGCCCCACACGCCATGACCTCATGAAATACTGGATGATGGTAATTTTACGGCGTGTCCAATTCAGGAACGCTGATGTTTTTCGAATTCCTGCTGGTTTCTCAAGAACATCTCGATACCCATCACCAGAGTGGTCTGCAGCACAAGACCGGCTCTGTTCCGACTTCCGATCCCTGGGCAGCTGCCGTGGATGAGTGTCCCACCGCCGCCCACGCGCGCCAGGATCCCTTGCTGGCGCAGCATCTGGAGCACTGGGGAATCGATGTGATGAAGCTCCTCGCTGCAGACCACCCACCGGATGGGTCCCACCGAACCGTTTGGGAGCGGCCGGCACAGCACTGGCGAGCTCCATGGAAAACCATTGTTTACCATCATATATTATATAATGTTCATATCTGTATATATAACAAAGTTATATATACGTTTACCATGTTTACCAGTTCCACAAGAAAAGAACCAGTTTTACAATGATATTGTTTGCCATGACTGTTTGGCAAGTGGGAGGACTTTGGGAACATCCCGTGAAAATGGCGGCATTCGGATGCCAAGAAGGCAGAAGGGTTTCCGGGTTTCCCCTTTTGTTTGCACCTACACCTGCCCACATGGGGGTCAACAGGGTCAACAGCATTCCCAGCACCCTAATGATGTGGATGCCCTTTTTTTGTTCAGTCAAGCGCCTTTGCTGTAGCTGCTTGGATCTTCACCCATGATTCGGGGCTGGGCTTTCTCGCGCCGATGCGCGAAGCGCTCAGGATGGAGAAGACAGACAAGACCTTGGCCGAAATGCAGGCGACCGGGGTGACCGTGCCGGTGGACCGCTCGAGGTCTCTCGAATCTGAGAAGAGGGTGCTCTGATCCTGGGGACCCCGAGAGGGGTATCCATGAAGAGCTCGAGATTGACGTCTTTGCGGGAGGGTATCCATGGAGCTCAAGCTACCAGCCATATCAGTCCATATCCATCCATGGAGTATCATGGAGTTTTTATGTATTTGTGAGCTAGAGCCATGTCTTGCGTCGCAGCCCATGGTGAGACACAGTGAGCTTGCTCCATCTTATGCTTCTCCATATTTGAGGTGGCTCAACGAATTCACCCAACATTTATGGTTTCGAGTTTTGGGCATGTATTTTGCTGTATGTTGTATTATTTGGTGGGCAAACATCCATTTATTAGATCATAGTGCGATCTTAGACCAGGTTTTCTGGCTGTGCCTCCTGTGTTTCTCGTGTCGTCTCATGTCGTCTGGTGCCTTCAGGTGGACCTGAACCTGAACTACGACTGGTCCAGGATTTGCGAGTCCGGGGACAAGCCACTGGTCCACGTCTTAGCATTCAGGACTAAGACCGGGTGAGGCTGTGGGTTTGCCTCTTGAGATGACCTAGGCATGTAAACCAGTTTAAACCTAGGCATGTTGGGGAGTGACCTTCCAAGCACATCCCAGGAATCTCGCAGTCGATTCAGACTGACAGGGTGTTTCCATGCCAACTGCTTGACTCATTGACTGCTTCATGCACCACCGAGAATTTGGCAGGCGGCTTCCAACACAATTTTAGCCTGGCCTGTCCAGCAGACTTATCCACAGCCAGTCATGCTGAGTGGGAGAATATCGAACAATCCAGCAGCTAGGGGGATCCTGTTGAAATATGTTTAGTATATTTTGCAGCTATTGTTTCCTGGGTGTTTGTAATAGACTACGTTGCCTGCAGGATCAACGACAGGTCATGCCATTCTGGGATAGCACTCTAATATCTCTTTCTCCTCAAAACCTCCGATCCTGTGTATGAGCTGTCAAAGTCCATTGAAAACTGAGAATTTGTGTGAACACCCTCACACATCGCACGAGCCCACGCACTCACACATGGGAGTTTTCACATGCTCTCTTGATCTGGTGCAAGCAGAACCCACGAGATGTTGTTCTCCCTTCCGCTGTGACCCGGGCGAAAATCGTCACGTTGGTGTTTCACGAACCGCCCAGGTTCGTGTGCGGGGTCCTGGGCTGGTGGGCTTGAAGAACTTGGGGTGCTCCTGACATGTTGCCGGTCCAACGTCTAAGACCTTGGAGTCAAAGAATGAGCTTCTGCCTGGACCTTCAAGGAGTGTCCAATAGAGATCCCTGAGCAGTGTAGGGACTTCCAATGGTGAATGCTTTGAAGGTGCTGGTGAACACTTTATTCGTTTGTTGGAAGTCAGAAAGGTTATAAGTTATGACCACATCATGGTGGTGCAGCCTTGAGATGTTATTGTTTTTCCAAAGCTGCTCTCGTTTGTCATATTATCCATTCACCATGCAACCCCCTGCTTGAACGTTTTTGTTTCCATGCAACAAGTGACACATGCTGGAACTCCCGCCTTCTTTGCCAGGCAGTCATGCTACATGAACTCCTCCGTTCAATTGCTGCTGGCCAGTGTCCTAGAGCGAGCGAGCGAGGGAGGGAGGGAGGGAGGGGGAGCGGTCAAGCATGGTCCAGCTACTGTACTGGTGTAGCCCCTCAGATACCCTTTCGGCAAGATCCAGGCGGAACATGTTGTTTGCTGTGGCAGGAACTTCTTCGATTCCTGAGAAGCAGCTTCTGGGCCCTATCTAATTAAGTCCAAGATGTGTACACAAGTTAAGTAGAGTATGTTCAGGACGTACATACAAGAGCATACGTACATTATCATACATTAAGAGACATGATGACATGATACACAGCATCGCATAAATAGCATGTAGTTCCTGGGTGGGACTGGATGTGGGACTGGCCCATTCGCAGGGCTTGCCTGAAGTGAAGCAGCGCTACATGGATGCTGACTTTAAGGCTCCGGACCGGAAGAGCTGTGCTAGCTGACCGCGCTGACGTGTCGAGAGACGTGGAACGGAAGAGCTGTGCTTCCAACCAAAGTGTTGGAGCCCGTCGACTTGTTGATGAAACTTGCTGAGCAAGAGAGTGTATCTCCCCCCAAAGGAGGAGTAAACAGATTTGAAGTGTTGATTCTGGATGGTGAAGACATCAGTTCGGGTCTAAACCCTTAGTAGTTTCTCTCCAGAAAGAGACTTGCTGTCGTAGGATTGAGATGGGTCTAGCAATGCGTTGAGATGTGTAAACCTACTATATAACCTACTGACGCAGCGTAACACAAGGGATGCGCATCGTTGTTTCTTCCTTTCACCACCTCACCTCTCCGTCGCAGATTCGCAAGTCGGCGCCTTCGGATCTTCAAAACGATCTCATCGGTCAGGCGCCGGAGGGGACCCGGAGGGGACCCGGAGGGACCCGGGAAGACCGGAGACCGTGGGAGACCGTGGGAGACCGTTGATTTCAACAGCTGGAGAGTTTCTCGGACGTTGAGAAACTCATAGGACTGAGAGGTGTTAAGAGTTGGTCGAGTCTAGTTTGCCTCCTTCGTTTTCAGACATGTCATGTGATCACACACCTCTACCTTCTCCGCCCTGGTGGAACCACACCGAGGTGGCCAAGTTGGCCGATGGCCTCAATGGCTCTCGGTATGCTCCGCCCTTGTGTGGACGCCTGGCCCGAGGATACGGTGAACGAGAGGGATCAAACGAGAGGGACCACCAAAGATGCAGCAATGAAAACGCAGAAGTCTTCATCTCCTTTTCAAGATGATTATATAAGGCACCAGCTGGCTGCAAGAGCCACTGTGCAGGCCAGCAATGGCTAGATCATCCAAGATGGTTCGATGGGGATGGATTTTCGCTGGCATGAGATGGCTTTGGTTCTAACGCTTCAAAAGCCTCCTGTATCTGTGAGAGCCGATATATTCCAATTGGATCCAATTACTCCCTGAAATACAGTACTCATGGAAGTGGAAAATCAAAATGGTCATCCAAGGGGCAGTTTCCACTTCCATTATTATTTCAAGGAGTGTGGTTTGACAGTTTGACATGCGCGTCGTGTGTGTCCAACCCGGTCACTGTGTCGCCAGGAAAGAAGGTGAAGATGAGGAGGACCCCAAGCACGTCATCGCGCCCCAGGCGCTCCCTGGGTCGAAAGTTGCTGGACTCTTGGAGGGGCCAGGCCCTTTGACCAACTTACTGGTCTACAGCTGGGGATGCATCTCCCTGTCACGCTTGCAAGCTTAGCGATGTAGCACAACTATTGCTGCTATGTCCTGACACCCACGTGGATAGTTCATGAGAGTTCATCTTACTGGCCTACTGACTATGATATAACTACTTGAATACTCTTGACATCTCTTGACCCTTGATACTTCTTCACCTCGTTTTCCGGCGGCCACTGCGACGAACGTCACGCGCCGAACGTCACGCGGCCAGATGTTCCGCACGCTGATTGGGCGAGGGCATCACGAATTCAGCAGCTCCAGGCGGGGCTCCAAAGGTCTCCATGTTGGCATGAAGCTTAGAGACCATCTTCTGCTCAATCTGGGGGCGGATGATGGCACAATCTCAGATGGCAATGTATGTTGATTTTTGGTCGATGTTTGACATGAGTTTGATGGGAGCAGCCCTTCTGTTGTTGAGCCAACAACATCTAACAATGAACCAAACCTGAGAAGTGCCAGGAATTTGGGATGGGAAACCGATGGTTTTGAAGTGACAGGGCTAGGTCATGGCCTTCCTTTCGCAGCCACCAAGTGTGCGTACTGCAGGCAACAAGATGCCGCGGAGTTCGTGCAGGCCGCACCGCCGCATCGCGGAGTTCGACCATCTCCCGACTCTCCCGGTGTTTGTTATTACTTTTTGGGGTGAACGGGAAGCGGTGTCGAAGCGGTGTCGGAAAACTGGTCAAGCTCGTGGGAAAGCTCGGTGGGAGGCCACCTGGGAAAGCTGGGGCATCGTTGGGAACCCTTGGAAACATCCTGATATGTCCTGATCATGTGGATTTGGACATGATTTGAGTGTATTTTGATGGGGCGACCCGCAACCAGTGGGTTTTGATCTATTCTTTTGGGAGGTCTCCCATTCAAAAAAAAATGCGTAATAATACACACAGCGCATTGGCTGATCCATGATTTGTACAATCCGGCTGAAACCACTCCGAAAGAAGAACCCGTGGGGCTTTGCTGGGTCATGCGGTCATGCGATGTCCAACATCGAAGCATTGCAACAACATCTTGGCAAGTGTCTCTGTTTGATCAGTGGAATCCCTTCGCTTAGCTCGCTTTGTACAGCTTTGCTTAGCTCACCCGTTCAACATCCAGATGTCCCCGTGCCTTGCCTGAACGAACTCCCGTGCCTCGCCGAGTACTTCCTGGAGCAACTGACGCGCGCCGAGCGTAGTGCACTGGGCTCCCGGCTGTCCGGCGACCGTGTGGGGACCCGGTCGCGCGGAGCAGGTCACGGCAGCTCGGGATCCTGGATGAAGGTTCTGACCCAGCAGAATGACCTTTAGGATGTAAGTGAAGGATATCAGGAAAAAGATATGCTTTTTCGGAACACCACCGACCTTTGACATCCTTTGACCAATCACGGAAGACACTTCAGGGGGAGGTAATCCCACAGATCCCAGGTGTTGGAACATCTTTGGTAGTGCACTTGGTAGTTTGCTGAGTTTATCCCCTTAAAACGCTGGCGTGTTTGCAAGAAACCCTAAAACATCCTAAAATAGAATTTTCTAAGATTAAGCGGGAGCTTGGGAAATCATCATCTCTCGAGCAAACTGCCATTCTTACCCGCAAAACTCCCACAAAAATGATCAAACGACGATCGCAAAGAAGCCGCACATCCAGACAAACCGTAGAGCAGTGTTTCCAGATGGTGGAATCCAAGTGGAAGAGTGGATCGCTGGCGTTGTTTTTTCACCCCAACCATGAACAGCACATAACAGCACTAAAACCACTGAAAAAAAGCTGACAAAGAGACCGCCGCTTGGAATTGCGATGATTTGTCATTGGGATCAGGATTTAAGGACAAGTGTTATTGTTCACTCATTTGATTTGTTCTCGGAGAACGCCATCACATAAACCATCTACTGTTCAATTCGAAGGAAGAGCAAGCAGAAAACCACCAACACCAAGGCCCAAGCACCAGCATGTTCAGCTTCTCCGATCCTTGGACTAAAGAGCCAAGTTGCACCAGCGCCGTCGATGCGTTTTCGATCGCTCCATCATGTTCACACCTAAACCACAAACCCATGGCTGGAGTTCATCTTGGGGTGCCACTTGTGGCGCCTCTTCAGATTCTTTAGTATTTGTTTTATGTAGATTGGTTAGATGTGTGATCCCGTGTGAATGTCCCAGCTGCTAGAAGTAGTTTTTTTTCCCGCACATCATGACTTGAGGAAAAATCATCCACCAACAGTCCTCATTTGCCATTGTTCAGATCCACCACGTGTGTCAATCCATGGCATTCTACGTTGTCTCTTAAAAAAGAGAGACAGAGAGAGAGAGAGAGAAAAAAGAATAAAGCTGGGGCTCACAACTGTCACGCACGGAGGATCCCGCGAGAAAACAGAGGAACCATTCTTCTATAAACACGGCTGTTTTACATAGACCCCCCAAATAGTTCGGATGTCAAATCTCTTTCACAATGTATTGGGCACCGTGCTACTAGATGTCTCTTTGGGGCACCACTATAGACCCGAACAGCTGGTTTTGGGGTCTTTGGTGGCACACCTTTCGGGGCACCTGTTGTCAGGAGATCCCAGGGTGATGGGGAGGGTGGGTGGTGTTCGTTCGAAAGGGCAGAGGACGGATGGAGCGTTTCCCGTCGTCATCCTTTTGGCTTGGCTCCGTTGGAACGCTTGCCCCATGTGAAACTCAACGCTCTGAACAGACCGATGGATGGGATGGGATGTGATGGAATCCCATGAGTTTTTAAGACCTCACTCGGTTCCATTGGCGAAGTGTGGTTCTTCCTGAGTTCGTCAGAAACCAAGTATGTCCCCTGAAGAAATGGTGTCCGCTTGTGGATAGAGAATATATGGATGGACGTGGAGCATGATAGAGCCTTCATTTAACCAAGAAGAAGAAGAAGGGGCTTAGGCTTAGGCCCTGGACAACTTCGGAGTCTTTCGGTAGTCGGCTACTCGATGGATTGGATTTACAATGATTTTTCAGTAAAGGAATGTGAAGGATTGTTTGGAGCCACCATGGCACCGCCGCCATAAGTCGTGCTAATATAGTAGGTTAAGTAAATAATGGTCGCTTTTCATCCGCACCTAACACTGTGTTTCTTCCCTCCACCACGTTTTCACGCCAAGGTGGAGGAGCGACTTCAAGAAAGCACTGGAAGTCGCCGTGTGAAGTGCCTTTGACTGACTTTGCTTGAAGTGCCTTGGATCACTCTACAGGCAAGTACCAGTAGGCTCATTGTCTGTTGCTTCTTTGGGCAGAGTGTTGACTTGGCCAGGTTTTTGGCTACTTGTCTACCCAAGTTGCATGCTAAAAACAGGCTTCAAGTTGCAGGCTGTCCCACCGGACTTCGCTTGGTCCAAGCTTGCAAGCAATTTCAGTATTGAGCTGTCACCGGGACTCCTGTTTTTTGACATACTCTTTTTCTGCATGTCCTTTTGAGAGATGTCGTACGTTGAAAACTTTTGGTTGATGTGTGTATACTACATTTATACTTCGTCTCGATGAGTTTCTTCAACCTCCATGTCTCTCCCGCATAGAAGAGTACGGTGCTGATCCTACGCCGACCGACCTACGGTTGGACTAGCAGCCGCTGGAAGCCCAAAAGCTCTCCGAACCTTGAGAGTTTCAGGTTAGGAACTGGACCGAACTGAACATTCCCCTCACTGGACATGGAACACAGGGAACACAGTGCCATGTAACATAGAGCCACGGCTTTTCCAGGGTAGTTTGATGATGAGCCTGCGTCGGATGCATGCAGCTGAACAGGTGTGGAACTTCTTCAAAAGGAGGACATCTAGAGTAAGTGTCAATACTTGTTGCGAGGTTGTGTTTTCACCGAGGCTCTTTTGGAGGTCCATTTGTTCATATTGTCACTCAGACTTACTTGCTCAGTCTTCCCAACCACCCCTTTCACCCGGCCGAACGAAGAAAATAAACCCAACCTTCGACCTTCGATTAATCCTTGTACTCGCAACAGAAAACACCAATCCTATCCAATCCTCTTTTGGCCCGCCGCGGGTATGTGTGAAAAACCGCCGAGGTACAGCCGTGTGCAGCAGAACATGTTGGGGATTCCTGCACCTCGGACGGCGAAAGCGTCCCACAGAATCACTGTCCCACTGCCAGATCACTGTGCCGCAGTCCAACCCAAGATTCTTGTTGAATCTCCATCCATCCATCCATCCATCCATCCATGGGGCAACGGCCCTTGATTCTGGCGCCCATTTCTCGGGGCTGACCCAGATATGCTTGGGGGAGCCAGATTCTTTACAGTAAAGGACCACCAGCAATGGTCCCTACTTGTTCCACCATTGTTCCACCATTGGACCGATTATATAGCTACCTTAAAACAAAAACGCTTTAAAAAGATCTTTGAGACTCAAGGTACAGTAGTTAGTTTTGTTGTTTTCAGGTTGTTACCTTTACTAGTTGGGATGGCCGCCGCATTTTTGGAGCCGAGACCTCAGCTCTCAGGCATGCGTTTTCGGCACAGATGGAGAACCCTTTGAGACAGAGGTTTTGGAAGATGGACAACTCAACTAATACTGACTGATACTTCCATACTAATACTGATGCTGATACTAATGCTGAAGATGGAGAACAATCCCTAACATACTTCAACTATAAAGCTTGGGCTTTGCCCGGAGCACCTCGTGCAGCCACGTTTGCCGAAGATGGTTTGGCAGGTCCAACATGGTCAAAGCAACGGTATGTGTTCCGTCGAAACGCTTCAGGTCAAGCTGGAGGATGCGGACAACCTCGAAGAGGCCCCCCGAAAAAGGAACCCGCTGCCAGGGGTACGAAGGACTCTTGTTTCACGTGTATATCTTATGGCACAAGGACGGTATCAAGGACTTTTGTTACATGAAAATCTAAGGGGTATCGCATGGTTCAACTCAGTCACGGATTTATTCTTGACGACTTGAACCGAAACGAATTGGTTTAGCAGAGGATCTGCAGGACATCCATAGTTCTGGTGGTGAAAACCATGGTCTCCGATGTTTGCCTTGAACCAATCGATTGAATTCAGTAACAGCTGGAGCAGATCAGCGCACTCTCCAAAGAAACATTCCCACAGAAATTTGCCTGGTAACAGCATCCAATACAGTTTTGCTGCTGGAGCAGTGGCTGGAAGCTCTGCAAATGGTTGTTTGATCATTATGATATGAGACACGAGCTTGGAGGTCAGCGGTGATCCAAGGAGTTGCTGAAAGGTCAAGGATTCCAAACTCCAAAAAAGCTTAAACACTGTGGCCTGCTCTTCTAGAAGAGAATAGTTCTGCATTTCTGCACCCTTTGTTCAGGCACCAGTACATCTGCATAAGGAGTGGGCGTGTCAAATCCTGTTCCCAAAGGGTCCAGCCTCTTTAATTGGATGCACGTTACTGTCCACGTTACGGTTCACCAGCCAAGGTCTACCTGCAGTAAATCGAAAGGTCGAATGCATCAAGGAAAAACCAGCCGAGCTGCAGTGGCTCGTTCGAGCTTTCTTCTAAGTGTGTTGCTCAAGGAGAACAACTTTTTAAACACCACTTTCCCACTTTCCATGATGGTGGGCCCAATGAATCCAAGAATTCCTTTTGGATGTTGGCCTCCAAGTACCTTTGTTTCGGTTTGGACTGGGCTGGGTAAACGTCGGGTCCAGTCATACCGAAGAGGAGTAGGGTGACATGTTGGGTGCATAGTAGACATCACACGACCGACCGTCGAACATCGCAACGCGTGGAACGTCCCAACTCGTGATGACCGGTTTTTGTGCGTCCGTCCGAGTGAACTCGGCTCAGCTGGCGAGGTGTTGGCGTTCAAAGCCTCAAAGGAGAAGGATGAGAGTGACGCAAAGAAGCTCAAGACCGAAGGCACCAGAGCTATCAGAGCGCAGAGTGCGCTCTTTTTAGAGCTATCCTCAGTGGTCAGCACCTCCGATGTGTTTTGTTTATTCATGTTTGCGTGGTTCGAGCACACTTCCTGTGTAAGTTTTGTCCACGTGCTTGGTACTCTCATGTATATTATCCAGGCATGTTCCAAGCCTTGCGAGTCTTCCTTTTCTAAACGTGCCATCGGTGTCCATGGAGATTTGGCACCCTGCCCCGCGACCGCCAAACACGTTCCGTTCCAAACCTTGGCCAAACCGCGCGTCCTGTGCACAACTGGGGGTGTTTGGTCTCACTGTGGGAGGTGTTTTTCGGCCATGAGCAGCAGAGTTGCTTGGAAAGCTTCGGAATTGGTAGTGACCAATCTCCTGTGAACTTCATGTCAAGACTTCCCAGAAGAGTGCCCTCCTTGCAAGTTATACCGAACCTGACACGCTCGAAGAGCCACGGAATGACTTGGCTGAGTACACCTCTGCACCGCTGCAGGCGTTGAAGAGCCCAAGCCTCTCATCCAACTCTCGTTCCTCGGATGTTGAGACACGAGAACGGATGGTTTGGGCTGGTGGTCATCGGTGCATGCAGGCGGAGACCCCCAGAAATCCCTCAGAATCCCCAAGGGGGTTGATTCAGAATGTCAGGTCGTTTGATTTCCAGCTTGAATTGTCTCAGTCAAGGCTTCACAGCTAGATTTTTTGGATCTTGGTTTTGAACTTTTTAGATTATAGGTTTATTTTCATTTCTAGTTTTTCTTTAGATGTGTTGTGTTTAAAATATGGTTTTGATAATGTGTTTAAATTCAAATTGTCTTAGTCAAGGTTAAGCAGAAAAAAAGGTCCCTATGCCATCGCTTTCGGAGGTGGACCCAATTGACTTCGTGAGCCTGGCGTGAGCCTGTCCATTTTCCTAAAGGAGAACTCCGCAACTTTCTCCACTTTGGGCAGAGAGAGGACTGGCTAAATAGAAGGGCTGGTTCCTCCCCCATTCGATTGAGTCCCGGATGAAGTAGGACTATAGTACAGTATGTTGATAGAAATGGAGGCCTGGAAAACGATGAGCCTTCCTACTTCATCCCTCGGTCGTGGTCGCTCCAAGGGGAACTGGGTCATTCTCAGAACACGACTCACGACCTCTTTCAGGCGGCACCTTGATCGGTCCTGAGCAATAGGATCGGTCCTTGGTGAGGATCAGTCCGACCGTGGGAGTCTCTATGTACGTGCTCCTCATTCGATCTCAAAGTCAAACGCTACATCAAAGACCGCCTGCATGGCTCGAACGTGTTGGGGATAGGTTGTGAGGGTCTATGTATCTTCAAGGTATTTGGGGCCGGGAAAAGGTCATTTTGAAGGGGTTGGCCGTTGACTTCACTTGCTGATTCCGGGTCAGAGTCCCAAAAAGACCTCTTGAGACCTTTGGGAGAGTTGTGGATAGGTGACCTACAATGTCCATCCCTATTTCTTGGGTTGGTCATACTTGACTCATGTAGCGTCCTGTCCTGCTGCGTAGCTCAATTCGGAAGACCGGAAGATCGATTCCGTTTCGACCCCGTGGGGGAACATGAACCCGTGGACTCAGTCAGGGCGGCCACAGGGGTCATCATGTACCCCATCCAACACTCGCGCCCGCGCCCCCCACGCTGGACCACATGCAGAACTGCAGAACCCAACCCATGTGTCTACGAACAGAAGAAGGCCACCAGCACTAGCGCACCCAGCTGCTGCGCCATGCTGATGCTTCCTCCGCTATCGCCCTGAGGAAATGCCTCGCGCGCTTGGCGGCCCCTGAGGAGAGGGATCGTGACGGAGTTGGGATCCGATCGATCCGGGTGGAGGTCCAGGAACTGGTGAGATATAGCTAGAGAATGCTAGAGATCACACACATAATCACATATCATATCATATATATACCAGCACCCTCCGACAGGTCACCGATTGAGACCTCTTAGGCCTAACAACTCTCTTTAGGAGACCTGTTGGAGGGTGCTGGTAGTTTTATAAAATTTTGTATATGGTTACGATATTTTTGGGAATCCCCAATGCTGCCACTAAGGTTGCTTCGAAGATGCCAATTCGTAACACAAACGTGAACGAGCCAGCTCTCGGCGAACGTAAGCGTGGTTCCCTGGACATGTTATTTGGATGAGATTGTCCACATCACATGGTCCTGTATGCGTGAATGCTTCACCCGCATGAAAGTGACGCCCTAGCACAAGTGTCCATGGCAGATGATCACCAGTCAAATGATGTCACATGGGTTACTGCATTACAAAATCCATTCTTAAATACGTACGTATAGGCAAATACCTGGCAAAATACCAATACCAATACCTGGCAAAATACATCTATATTCTATTTCTCAAATACCAAATACCTGGCAAAATATGGGTCCAGTTGTTGATAGGCCATTCTTGCTTCCTCCGACACGGACACCGGCCGCTTCCTAGGAAGGCATCCAGTTTCGAGGGACCTCCGCCTCCAAGACGTCCGGCGCCCTGTTTCACAGGGACCGGGGGCTGGGGGCTCGGACTATTTTGGTGAAAGAGCTTGGTGAAAGGTGTGACTTGGAAAGCTTGGGGTTCGGAGGATCAAATCTGCAAAGCGCATGCAACGCCTTGGTGCCCTAAACGTGTACGAAACAAGGAGGAGAGTCGTGGATTTGCCAGGCCTGGGAGTCTGGGTTCAATGGTTGTGCTTCACAAGATTTTGCCAACCTATTATTACTTATTTCGGCACGAATCCAGGTTGGGAGCCTTTGGCAAGAGATGGATCTAGAAGAGGTGGACGCATGCGATGGTGAGGCAAAAGCTTTCAATTGGTGCCATCAATCAGGGTTGGGGCCCCATGTTGAAGGCAGATGATCGCCACAAGAAAGTTCAATGAACCTGGAGGCAACAAAAATCCGTTAATTGTGAACAAGTGCAGCTGTCAATCGGATGTCCGATTTCATGATGCAAACAAAAGTTCAAACCCTTGAAGGACATTAACACAATGCAAAGCCATATAAACAACAATGAAGCACGCTACATTCTCAACAATAAGTGGAAAAAAGCAGCTGTGGCGCCCCTCGAATCAATGTTAATTATTTGTTGCAAGTACAGCAACAAGGTGCAACAAACGAACGCAAGACAGTAGCATATGCATATGCACAGAAAGCGGAAATCTTTGCTAAAGCAACAATGTGAGCAAGAAGCCAGACAAGGTAACCTATAAACAAATGCGGAGGACACGGTGCTGCTTGTGGATCCTGTCTCAAGACAGATCCTCCATGTAGCCGAGTGTCGCAAGATACTTTTTGGGCATCTCGCTGTAGTCCCCCACGACTGTACCTTTATACTGTAACATGACATGATGATCCTTTTCCCTTACAACCCATCATGTTATACAGATCAGTAACTTTGCGTGTGATAGATTGGTGGCAAACCAGCCTTGGTCACGTTATAAGAATACACTTGGCCAAAATGTATTGAGGATGTTTCAGAATTATATGTGAAGAACCTTGATAACACAGCTTCAGATTTTGACATCCACTATATAATACCTGTATCCTGAGGAAATGGGCCCAAGGCTCCCCTGAGCTCTGGGATTAAATATTTATTTGGATTAATTTATCAAAATCGTACAACAATCCTGAGGAGGTTGGCTAACCAAGAAGTCGAACAAAACCTTTATGAAAGGTTGTTGGAGTAATTTGCTCGCCAGGGGGTGGATTAATTGTAAAAAGGGGGAAGCAGAATGTGGATGAATAAACTTGAAGGATAGAAAGAACTCGACTATTCATTGGGGCCAAGAGTTTGGAAGATTTTGGGGTAGGGACCATAGCATTAGCTTTAGCTGGAATAGGCAAATCACACCAGAAGACCAAAAGACGGAAAACACCAATAGAATGATACGTGATGTTATGGGTACTCCACGCAGTAACCAGATATTTTCAATAAATGGATTAATTGATAATTGATGTTTAAATAAACATAAACACATATTTAGAAATGTCGAAATAGTTATATATATCTTGTGAAACCTCAGTAAGTGGATTATAACCTCCTAAGTCAGATATGGGAAAAGGTAACAAATATTAGCGACAACCAAAGAGCAATCTTTGCTAAGTTGAATGAACTTACAGAATGTAAAGATGCTGAGGACAAGGAAGCTGAAAAGAAGAAAGTTTGAGATATTTTTGAAAAGAAAAGGATAGGAAAACCAAGGGGCACATTTGGAGAAAAGCAAAAGCAGTACTTTGAGATGGTAAAGTCTGGGAAGATAAAGAACCATTGCGTAGATGCTACTGCTATATTCTTCCCAAGTGGTGGATTTTGGATCCCCAGTCCTTAGCAATTAAAGTAGCTTGTTCCCCGCCATCGCCCATGATGCTCTTTACCACCCTCCTGTTGAGCGCCTTTGCCGCTGGCTACCATTTGCCTGAGCCTCCCAATTGCAGTGAAGAAGAACTCATGAACGGCTACAATTACACTCTTCGTGGCGGGTGGATGGACCTCAGTATGTATACCACATGGACCCGCGACCGGAACCGACATGGCCGTACGGGAGCTTTCAACGCATTTCTCAACTTCACTTCGGCGGCAGGCATTTGCACGGAAAAAGATCTGGCCAATGCCACCCGAGGAAATGAATCACTCTTCTGCATCAGCACCCCGCTTCTTTTCTTCAGCCAGTGCCTCCGTGTCAAGAAATCGATCCCTTTGACCATGACCAATGTTCTTTCGTCCTGCCACGACTTTGAATTTATTGGATCAGACGTCCTGAAAGAGGCAAAGTTTCCTTTCGAGAGTCGCTTCTGCCACAAGTCCCTGCATGGTGACCTCACGAGGCTCCTTTTAGTGGGGACTCGTCAAGGTGCGGAGCGATGGATTGTGGAGACTTGCCATTGGATGAAAGCAAGGATGTGCCACAACCCTGAGATGATGATCCTTCGTAATTTCGTACCGGGATCAGGTTGATTCTAGTAATGCGACACTGGGACGCTCCCGTTTTGGTTGTACAGGATGACGCGCAATTTGTCCCTGAACGTGACAGTGCGTGCTCCATTGCTTTCTTTTGCCACGGGATGAGAGGTTCCCAGCTTGACGCTGACCACGTAGTTGCTCTGCAAAAAGTGATGAGGCGTTGTTGTGATTTATGGGGAAATGGTTTATCATTATTACATTAGGAGGAACTTCCAGAACAAAGACTATTTTCGGCTGAAACTTGTCGATGCATAATTTGATGAGCTCGATTTGGTCATCTACAAGGTTGGCAATTGGTCGATGATCGTTAAGTAGCAAGTTGGTGCCATCTTGGATTGTGACAGAGTTGAGTTCATGGTTGTTGTATTTATTCAGTACCCGCATTTTTCTTTGCTAGTTGATCCGCGGTAAGAGTGCACTTGCACATCACAGGGCAATTCACGGTGGCGAATAAAACGGAGGTGGCCACTACCCACTATCAAATTGCTAGTTGAGGACTCCACTTGCTTGTTAGGGAAGTCACGTATTGGCAATTCTGCCTTAGGGGCGAATTGCTGTGGCGAAGGAAGCTTTTGAAGGAAGCAGGCATGTGAGGTGTGGGTTTATTGACCGACCCGCTTTAAAGCCCATGCACTATATCTCTCAGGCACCAGGGTCGGACTGGCGAGGCTGTTGATGTTGAACCCTCCAACCCTGTAGCAAATGGCCCGTGGCCCAGAAAAATTCCCTGCGACATGAAATCTGTGCCTTATCTTCCACGACATTTTTGGCTTTGATTCGATCACGGACCTATACCTTGAAGATCATTGGAAGACCCTTCTGTTGTGGTTCGAGTCATCTTAAGAGACGTTCCACATGTCAATGTGATGTTTGATGGGGCCAGCCTTAGGAATTCAATTGAGGTGGGGTAATTACTGTTGTTGGTCCTGGTGTCCAGGAAACTGTTATTGTTGGTCCTGGTTTCCAGGACATTGTGGTCTGAATGCTTAAATGCGGATGAGGATGGCCGAAGAAGAGAGAGAGCAAAAAGGCGTGAAATGAATCCAAGGGATGTGAGTGGTGAACCACCCTATCCGACTAGTCTCAAAATCTGCAGCTTAATTAGGTGGAGGCCCTCCGGATTAAATAGCTCACTTCCTAACTGATTGTTGCTTATGATCTTGTTGACACTAAAACCCCCTCTGATTAATAAGGCTCGAATTTCCTAATCCAGACCTGGAGCAGCTCAGGATTAAGTCGTTGAGGTACTCAGTCGTCTCTGCCATCTGGCGTCGCGAAGCCGTGGGGTGCATTCAGCCCGAGCGCCCGAGCGCGTTCGTTGGCTCCAAAAACACCTGCGACGGCGACGCTGAGAACATAAAGGCATCAAGTGGAAGCAGAGGGATAGTGTTGATTTCTGCGCGGCTCTTACATACCACAGGAAAGCGCAGATGCCACCAATCTTTGACATGTTTCACTAAGCTGTTCAAGCATACATTGAAAGATGGGTGGCGGAACGTGATCTTGATAAGCCGTAAAACTATGTTTGGCTCCCTCTCACCAAGTGTTCCCAAGCCTGGCATGTGGCAACTGATATTTCCACTTTGTTTGTTTGGTTGGTTTGGGTGTCACGCTCCGTTGGTGTGGGATGAAAAACCGGGCCCTTCTGAAAGGCATCCTTGCCTCTTCCATTTCTAGACCTGCCACTGAGCCCAACCCAGCGAGGACTCGGCTTGCAAGTATGCCCAGGCCAAGGGTTTGACCAAACTGGCGGTGGGGGCCCTGTAGCTCGAAGTGATCTGGGTAACTCGAGGTGATCTAGGAAGATGGGTAGCTCGAGGTGATCGCTTTTCCACGACGAAACACGTCGCATGTGGTCGGACCTTTGCCCACAAACGGCAGATGGGTCGCTGAGAGGACCAGGAAGAGCTCCCTGGAAGAGCTTGAGCCAAGAACAAGACCAGGAGATCCAGGTTTGTTGGGGTGTTTGTTCACCTTATGTTCGGAAGGTCCTTTCTGCATCCTGGTTATTTCTGGTCATTTCTGACATCTTCAACCCCTGGCTTTGGAACCCCTGTGGAAGTAGCCGAGTAGCCAACCTTGGCCAACGGAATTTGTTTTCAGGTGCTGTTACTCTCATCATCCCCATTTTGCATGAAACCTCCCGAGGCTGATCGCTTCTCCGGTGGTCGACGGATTTTTGTCGGAAACGATTGGTGTGCTGGGAAGATGGTGCTGCAAATCGTCTTCTTTGGGGGGGGCTGATTCGGCCCAAATGGTGCGGACATTTTGAGTTGGTCAGGCCTTCTACGAGGGGGGAAAAAATGGGGACGAGCGACTCGGCACGCGGACGCGGTACTACGGCAGGTACCTGTTGGTGCAACTCCAACGGTACTACGTTGATGAGAAGTGGTGCCCTGCGAAGCTGGACTGCAAGGCCAGGGGAGGGGCGAAGCTGGTGGCGAGGTCGTGGTCGGTGCAAACGTTTTTGTGAAGTGGGATCTCATTGGATCTTCGATACACATGTTGCCTGAAACTTCACCGCCCTCACTTCCTACTCGTAGCGTGGAGCCTTGGAAGGCAGATCGCCACGAAAGAAAAGGTGTCTGAAACGTTTCATGTCGATCCTCGTGGATGCCTTCAATCGAATAAAAAAGCGGAAACTCATACCTGGACCTTCAAAGGGGTGTCCAATGGAGATCCCTAGGTAGTGGGCAAAAGGCTTCCAGCCAGGTGACCCCTTATGACCCCTTCGAAGGAAACTCACATGTCTCGTTCGTCTTGAAAGAGGAGACTCTCCCCGTCACCGCCGGGGGATGTCATGCTGTTGCTCGCTGTCACGAAAGCTGTCAGCCAGGTGCCCATGTGCGGGTGCTCGGGAGAGATAGCCAGCGCAGTCGGTGAAATCTTCGGGACATCCCCATGTGGGTGTGTAGTCAAATAAGAAGGCCAAAAGATGCCCAAACCATCCCAAACTCTGGTTTTGTTGACCTCCCCTGTTGAAAGTACCACAAGGCTGAGCGCACGCTGCTTCGTAGAAGTGATGGATGATCACACCTTGAATCACCGAACGGTGAAGGTCACCCGTTGTGCGAGTGTCTACGTTTTCCAAGCGCCGTAAGCTGCCGCCATGTCGGCGCCGAACCACTGGCGGTACGGACCCATGTGAAACGTGTGTCTCAATGCTTCCTTCAAAAAAAGTCGTGGGGTGGACCAGGTCATTTTTCTGAAAACCGACGGCATGTCATTCCAAGACCTGTCGGCACCTGTGGTGTTTGTGGGCCATGGCTGGTCATAGTGGCTCCGTCAGCTCGACTTGGAGGTCATCAACTCGGTCTCCAGAAAGGGGTCACTGACCGTTCGACCTGGATTCTGTGGACCTGCCCGGTGGGTTGGAGTTTGCCGGCCTTGGCATTGGCCTTTGTATGCCATTCTTTGGGTGCCAAACGCGTCGCCTGAAGCAACGCGCCGCGCCCAACAAGGCCTGAAACCCTGAACTTGGAGCACTTGAGGGGACGAGGCCTGCAGACAGGAGCGGCTTTTG